CCGAGCAGCTCCCTCCCGCCTGGCCAGCTGGTCAGGGCCCTCTGCTGGACACAGAGAACTCTGCGCAGCCCCCCAGGACACCTTGTCAGGCCCCACGGGCGGCAGCACTGGGACCTGGCGCCCCAGAGGCCAGTTGCCCCAGGGAGCTGCCCCTGCCGAGAGGGGGCACAGCTGCAGGGGTCCCCTGGGGAGGAGGGCAGGGCTCCATCGCACCTCAGGAGGCAACTCCAGGGCAGCCCCACCACCCAAACTGCATCACCGCCACTTCCTGGCCCCGACGAGGCCCCGCCGTCGACAGCTCTGCAGGGCGTAGCCACTACCACCGTGTCTCTGATTAGAAAGGAGGTCGGTCACTGACCACAGACAAAGCCTGCCCGGGCTGGCCCGGCACCTGGATCTGACTCCTGACCTGACCCATCAACGTTCTCCGCAGGCGCGAGTCCACCTGCTCACCTGCTCACCACACAAACTCCCCCTGAGGACAGCGACAGTCAAAACCTGAAAACACCACGTTCCGATCCAGACACAAGACGCACGGACATTCACAATAACAGAGACTTACTGAGCCCCTGCTGTGTTCTAGAGACAGAATGCAGAAATGTAACCACCAGGGAGACTTCGGTCCGGGTTGGGGGATAAATGTGTGTATAGGTAATTACAATTCAGTGGTGGGTGCTATGAAAGGCAAGGGGCCGGTCGCTGAGGGAGCCCAAAGTCGCCTAGAGGGATGTGGAAGGCCTCTCTGACTAGGAGACTTTCGAATGGACCTGTGAGTTCACTAGGCAGACAATGGGGAGGGAGGGGTGCTCCGAGCAGAAGAGGCAGCATGTGCAAAGGCACTGGGGTGTGAGGGCAGCGACATACCTGGAAGACAGCAGGGAGAGTGTGGGGAGGGAGCATGGGAGTCTGGGGCGAGGAGCCTGGGGAGGTCAGCGGAGGAAGGGCCGGGAAGCACCCTGTACATCAGGCCAAGGAGTTTACACTTGTCCTGAAGGCAGTGGGCAGGGCTGCGGGCTGTGGAGCAGAACGCGACGTGAGCAGTTCTCTAGAAGGATCCCTGGTGCACAGCGGGGGTCACAGAAGTCTGGAGCTGGGGACACAGAGACAGAGGCACCTGTGGGGTGCAGCTGTCCAGAGGACGGCGAGGAGCAGAGTCCAGGAAAACTGAAGGTTCGGGTGCATGGAGGGACAGGTCATGGCTGAGCCCCAGGCCTGGGCGGACAGCTAGACCCTCCCCTGTGCAGGAAAGGTGAGTCAAATCTGGTGCAAGGTTGGGATAAAACCTCTGCCTTGTACACGTGAGGCCCTGTCCCAGCGAGCTGTTCAGGTGGAGCTGCAGGAGAGTCACCTGTGGTGCAGGAGAAGACAAGAGCAAACGCTGAGGTACAAGGTCAGAGGCGGGGTGGGTCAAGTTGCCAGAGAGCATGCAGAGCACTTGGGGGTGCAGGGTGAGGCCAAGGAGCCCCCACACTCGTGAAGAAAATGGAGCGAAGGTGTGGAAAGGCAGGTGGCCAAGCTCCCGTTCCTCCGAGGCCAGAAAAAGACGAAGGAAGCTGTCTGGGCGGCCAGAGTTGAAAGTCACTCACATAGTTGGTTGGCAAACACCAGCCAGGGCTCCCAGGAGCGGAACCAGCTGGGAAGTGACTTTCCTAGAAACCTGCTGACCAGAAAAGCACTGTCCTGCCCAGAGGCCCCACGTGCTGTGCAAGAGTCGGAACCCCAAGAGAGAAGGGGGGGAGAAAGAGAAATGGTAAATCTCATGCACCCTCAGACAAGGTAAGGGGAGCATCTTTGGCCTTTGAAACATCCTGCCTTTCTGGCTTCTTCTTGTTTGTTCTTTTTGTGGGGACAGGAGACACGGGGCTGCTGCAGGGCCGGGCTGCATGGGGTTCACAGTGTCACAGTGAAGACGCAGGGTCCTTCTGGGAGTCAGATCAGACGAGGACTCGACCGTCCCCTTCTCTGGCTGCCACCCTTGCAGCCTCCACTGCAGAGGAAGGCCGGGCCTCCTACTTCCACCTCCCTGGCCTCAGGATGGGGCTGAGGAAGGATGGCAGGGTCTGCACAGGGTGCCCAGTCCTCATCCTGAGCGTCCTGGGGTCCATCTCCCGAAGATGCTTCCCGCACCCTGGACAGCTGCCCTGGGGCCTGCCTCAGAGCTGGTCGGATCCCTCTGCCTGCAGCTCCGGCACCGAGGCTGCTGTCCCTGAAACCCACCACCTGCCGTGTGGTGCTAAACACTCAACAGAAGCATCATACTTCATCTTTACTTTTTTACCCCAGCTCAGAGAGGTACAGTAACCTGCTTGAGGACACACAGCTGGGATCCAAATGCAGGTTTGTCCAACCCAAAAGCTGAGACTCTCAGCCACTTCTCTGTGCAGCCTTACGGAAGTTTAACACAAGAAGGGGCCTGAAGAGGATGTACACTTATTTTCCAGAAATGGAAATTGCTTTCCAGAGAAGTTGAGCACCAAGGCCAGGCACCCGGCGATGCAGGGTCGACACCAGCACTCACAGATGGGGAGTGGAGAAGTGGCCCCCCTCCGCTCCTGCCCGTGAATGTGCCCCTGTGGGTTGCACCTGATAAACTCTGAGCCCCGCCCAGAGGGGCACCCCCCTCTGCCCGGCCTGGGCTTCCTTGGTTCTTTACAGTGGTTGGGACGTCAGAGGCCACTAGGTGGAGCCAGACGTCCAGAGATGGACATTCAGGGCCACCCTCACTCCAGCAGTCCTAACCCAGCCCACCCTGCCCGAGCCTGGCCCACAGACAACCTGCTGCTGCCTCTGCTGCTGTCGGAGGGAGGGACAGGGAGGAGGCAGGCCCCGGGGTGGGGGCCGACATGCGGGGATGTGGGGATGTACCTGCTGCTCCACTCCACCCCTCTCTCCTGAGGGCACCCAGCGTGGGTCCCCTCAGGGGTCCGCCTCCCAGGCAAAGTCTCCTCTCCTGGACCGACCTGGGTCAGCCTCCGACTCAGAGGCAAGCCAAGAAGAGGGCAAAGCCCCTTCCGCCCTTGGGAACGCCTCCAGGACCCCAGGGATTCCCCCACCCTCCTCCCTGGGGATTCCCCCCCACGCTGGCCCTGGGAAAGGTACTCAGGTAGCACAGGGCGGGACAGGTTGGGGCTGCCCCCGGCATTGAGTGGGGAGAGGGCTGGTGTGGGGGTGCCGCCCGAGGAAGTAGCTAAGAGCCGACATTTCCTCGAGCAAGTTCCACGAGCCGCACCATCCAGCGATGGAAACAGACGGTTGGGATTCGGCTCCTTCGGTGGCTCTGCGGCTTCCTGGCTGTGTGTACCCGGCTTTGGCCCAGCAGGGAACTGCTCTGCGCCTCATCTGTGGTGAGGGGCAGCAACAGCCTGCTCGTGAAGACCAAGTGGGCTGGCCTGTCAGTCGCTGGACCAGTGCCTGGGACTCAGGACGCAGAGGGGAGGGGGGCTGCTGCCAGGGTGACCCCTGACTCTCACCCCGGCCCCACGAGGCCGCTGCATTACCATCTTCGCTTCACGGATCTGGAGCTGAACACAGAGGCAGGAGGCAGCCAGAGGCAAGCAGGCTAACTCGAGAGGGCTCCTCCCCGGCCAGGGCTCGGTGCCTGCCGCTGGCACCAGGCCCGAGGGTGCCCACGGGGCCCCGCTGCACCAGTGAGCAACACGGGCATGACCTCTGCCCCTTGAGACTCACCTTCGGGGAGGGCGGCAGCCACTGGAAAAACCACGCCCCGAAGAGCGCAAGCATAGCCTGTGAGGAAAGACGTGGGAGGACGGGGCACGAGGTCCAGGGACCGCTCTGTCCGTTGCTTTCTCCTGGGGGAAGGTGGGGGTGTCAGCCTGGGCCTGAGGCCTCACAAGGGTGCCGTGGCAATGGAATGGGCGTCGTGGGGACCGTTTACGAAGGGACGGCTTCGGCGGTCATGAGCGCCAGAGCGCCTCGGAGCGTGGTCCTTGGGTCCCCAGCCCCTGGGGGCCGAGCGGAGGGCCTGCGTCCGGGCCCCGCCGCAGACCGGCTCCATCAGACCCGACGGGACCGGCCTTCCAGGTTTCACAAAGCCCCCCAGAGGACGTGCAGGCGGGGTCCGGTCAGCAAGTCAGGTACCCCCGCTGCCTCCACGGATGGGATGGAGGGCGCTGCCCCTGTGGGGTCTTGGGGCCGAGCTGGTGGGAGGCTCCCAGACCACAGCCCCTCAACTCTGGGGAGCAGGGCCTGTCTCCCAGCAGCTCCCTCAGCACCTGGCCTTCAGGAGATGCTTAACACACGTGTGAAAGGAAAAATAACTCGGCAGAGGCACAAAACCGCTCACAGAGTCCCACCTGAGGGGTCCCCAGTGTGGGCAGATGCCCGCAGAAGCCCCTCCCCTGGGGTCTCACTGTCACAGCCGTGCCCTGGTTCCCCAGACTGTCATGCTCCAAACATGGCTCACCACCGCCCCCCTCCCGCCCCAGTCAGCCCGGCTGAGGCAAGGCTGGAATGTTCCAGCATGCGGAGGGTCGGATGCCACCGTGATGTAAGCCGCGTACGAGGAACCAACAGCCTAGCGGGCGAGG